GAAAAAGCACCCATTTATGATAAAAACACTCAGCAAAGTGCGAATAGAGGGAGCATACCTCAACATGATAAAGGCCATAAATGAAAAACCTACAGCCAACATCATACTTAACGGGCAAAAACTAAAAGCTTTCCCATTAAGATCAGGAACAAGACAAGGATGTCCACTTTCACCACTTCTATTCAACCTCATATTGGAAGTCCTAGATACAGTGATCAGACAAGAAAAAGAAATTAAAGACATCCAAATGAAAAGGAGGAAATAAAGCTGTCACTATTTGCAGATGACATGATAGTGTAGATAGAAAACCCTATAGACCACCAAAAACCTACTCGGCCTAATAAGTGTATTTCACAAAATGGCAGAATACAAAATCAGTATTCAGAAATTAAAGACACTTTTTGAATGCCAACAGTGAAACATCAGAAACAGAAATAAGGAGAAACATCCCATTTGCTATAGTAACTAGAAAATATAAAGTACATAGGAATAAACCTAACCAAGGAGGTAAAAGACCTGAACTCAGAAAACTATACAACACTGAAGAAAGAAATTAATGAAGACACATAAATGGAAGCATATACCATGTTCATGGATTGGAAGAATTAAAATCATCAAAATGTCCATACTACCCAAAGCAATTTACAGATTCAATGCAATCCCTATTAAAATACCAATGACATATTTCACAGATATGGAAGAAACATTTCAAAAATTTATGTGTAACCATAAATGACTCTGAATAGCTGCAGCACTCTTGAGAAAGAAGGACAAAGTAGGATGAATCACAATACCTGATATCAAACTACATCACAAGGCCATTGAATTCAAAACAGTCTGGTACTGGCACAATAACAGACACATCGATCAATGGAACACAACAGAGTACCCAGAATTAAACCCAAGTCCCCATCATCAATTAATATTCAACAAAGGGGACAGGACCATAAAGTGGAGTAAAAATAGACTCTTCAACAAATGGTGTTGGGTGATCTGGGCAGGTACATGCAAAAAAAATGAAACGACCACCAACTTACATCATACACAAAAATAAACTCAAGATGGATAAAAGACTTAAATATACATCATGACACCATAAAAGTCCTAGAGGAAAATAGGCAGGAAAATCTCAGATATTCCACTCAGCAGTATTTTCACTGATATGTTCCCTAGAGAAAGGGACATAAAGGAAAGAATAAACAAATGAGACTTCATCAAATTAAAAAGCTTCTGCATGGCTAAAAAAAAAAAAACCCCAGCAAAATGAAAAAGGAACCAACCGTATGGGAAAATGTATTTGCCAATGATACCTCAGGCAAGGGTTTGATCCCCGAAATATATAAAGAACTCACACAACTCCATCTTTGGAAGGCAATTAGTTAAAAAATGGGCAAGGGAAATGAACAGACTTCTCTCCAAGGAATACATACAGAGGGCCCAGAGGCCCTCTATATATGAAAGGATGCTCAGCATCACTAGTCATCAGAAAAATGCCAATTAGAGCCGCAATGAGATACCACTTCAAACCGGTGAGAATGACCATCATAAACAAATCAACAAACAACAAGTGCTGGACAGATTGTGTAGAAAAGAGACCTCCAGTGCATTGTTGGTGGGAATGCAGACTGGTGCAGCCTCTGTGGATAACGGTATGGAATTTCCTCAGAAAACTAAAAATGGAACTGCCTTTTGACCGAGCAATTCCACTTCTGGGATTATACCCTAAGAATTCTGAAACACCAATTCAAAAAGAGACTATGCACCCCAATGTTCAGAGTAGCACAATTTCCAATAGCCAAGTGCTGGAAGGAACCTAAGTGCCCATTAGTAAATGAGTGCATCAAAAAACTTGGTACATTTACACAATGGAATACTATGTAGCAGAAAGAAAGAAGGAGCTCCTACCCTTCACAACAGCATGGATGGAACTGAAGAGCATTATTCTAAGTGAAATAAGTCAGGTGGTGAAAGACAAATACCATATGATCTCACCTATAAGTGGATCCTAATCAATGAAACAAACAAGCAAGCAAAATAGAACCAGAGACTATGAAAAAAAGAAGAAAATGACAGTAGCCAGAGAGGAGTGGGGAGAGGGATAATGGGGGAAAATGGGGGAAGGGTCAAGTTGAGGAATATGTATAAAAGACACATGGACAAAGCCAAAGGTGGTAGGTTCAAGAGTGGGAGGCAGGGATGGGTGGGCCAAGGGGATGTCGTGGGGGGAAATGGAGACAACTGTACCTGAATAACAATAAAAAAACACATTTCTGTTGCATTAGAACATCCAAATTCATTAAAAAAAAGAAGCTGCTGGAGGTGACAGTAGCAAAATGAATGGAGATTCATAATAAAGCTTGTTAAGAACAAGAGGGAAAAGCAGGGAGCACTGAGGAGAAGGTTCAGAAGGCATATGCTCTATGTCTGTGAGACAACTGTAATAGAATAACAAACAAAATGATTTTAAAAAAAGAAGGCATATGACCTAAAGTTTCATTCTTTACTTGTGTTATTTAATCTCAAAGTATTTTGGGATTTTATAGATATATTTCTGTTATTGATTTCTAGTTTAATACCAATGTGGGCTGAATGCAGACATTGTATGACTTCTCTTAAAATTTAAGGATTTTATTTTGGGGGGGAGCAGAATATGGCCTATTGTGGTAAATGTTATATTTGAGAAGAATGTGTACTCTCTTGTTTTTGGATGAACTCTAAATGTCAATTAGATTCACTTGGTTAATGGTGCTCTTCAGTTTAATTGAATTCTTATTTATTTTAGTTCAATATCTCTCAAAACTGTGAAAGTGGTGTGGACAGATCCAACTGTAATAATGGAATTCTCTATTTCTTGTATTTCCACCAGTTCTTTTTTAAATTTTTAAAAATCATGTTTATTCCATTACAGTTGTCTCAATTTTTACCCCTTTACCCCCCCTCCACCCATGCCACCCCTACACCCCACTCCCACAGTCAATTCCCACACTGTTGTCCGTGTCCATGGGTCATTCATACATGTTCTCTGTCTAGTCTCTTCCCCTTCTCTCCACCATTGTCCTCCTTCCCCATCCCTTCTGGTCACTTTCAGTCTGCTCCATGTTTCCATGCCTGTGGTTTATTTTGTTCATTAGTTAATTTTGTTGATTAGATTCCACTTATGGGTGAGGTCATATGGTATTTGTCTTTCACCAACTGGCTTATTTCACTTAGCATACTATTCTCCAGTTCCTTCCATGTTATTGCAAAAAATAAGAGTTCTTTCTTTCTCTCTCTCTTTTTTTTAAATGCAGATTTATTTTATTTATTTTTAAAATGTCAAAATCCATTATAAAATATCAAAAAATTTAAATCCTTTACACAATTTCATCAATTAAAACAACATGACACTAGCACAGAAGTAATTAAGTAGATCAATGAAATAAAATGAGCATTCTAGAAACATGTATATATTTGTGAAACAATGTAATATATGATTAAATTGATATTTCAAATCAATGGGGAAAATAAGGCTTATTTAACAAATAAGGTGCATGGACCACCTTGAAATTAAACAAATATAGTGGGCTTTGGTTATTGATGGCTCATTCATTGCTGGGTTCTTCCCTCCAGCTGCCTGATTGAGAGTCTTAACCTTCGCCATGTCTTGTATATTGTTGAGCAAGTGCTGGTTAACAAAGCAATACTGCCCAGAAAAACCAAACCCATGCCAGCAAAATTATCCCCCACCTCAGAATTATTAACTATAAACGAGCAGAGATTAATAAAGATGAAAAGAGGTTAAGCATATTATAAGACAGGCAGAAAGAATATGAGATGACTAAATGAGAGAAAAAGTTTTGAAAGGGAAGACGGAAGAGAAATAATAAGAAGGAATAGAAACAAAGAAAGGGAGAAAATAGAATTTAAAACATAAGTATAAAAGGGAAGGATGATGGCAAAATGGAGTAAGAAAAAGGAAGAGTGTAATCTGTGTTTTAATATTAAACAATAGTGAACCAATAGGCAAAAAATTGAAGAAAAACCACAACAGGGTCAATAACAATGAGAGATGACCAAAGATTAATAAAGGCAAAAAGAGAATAAGAATATTATAAGAAAAAGAAAAGAGAATATGAAATGTCTACAGTAAAGAAAAATGGTTTTGAGAGGATAGGGAGAGGAGAAATAATGAGTAAGGAACAGAATCCAGGCTAAGACAGGGAAAAAATAGAATACCAAGCTCAAATAAGCAAGGGCTGGAGGAAGGTAAAATGGAGTAAGACAGGGAGAGTAACGTATGAGATTTGAAATAAAAAAATAGTGAACAAATAGGAATATAACTGAAGAAAAACAACAATAACCACAATATCCACACCAAACAAGCCACAATTAATAAAGGTGGAAAGAAAACAAGATTATAAGAAAGGGAAAAAGACTGTTGGCTGACTAAAGGCAGGCAGATGATTTTGAGAGATTAGAGAGAGGAGAAATAGTAAGAGTAAGGAATAGGAACAATGCTTAAAGAAGGGGAAAATAAAATTTATTTATTTATTTATTTATTTATTTATTTTTTTTTTGCTATTAAGATTTTTCTTTTAATATGCCACAAGGTATCTTGATTGTATATTTTCCAAAGTACTTTTCCAGCCACATCTCCCAACCCTTCCAAGTGATTTCATCAGTCTTTCCAATGCAATGAAAGATGCAGGATTATAGTTCTGTCCACCTTCTCTTTTTGAAAGCAATATAATCCTAATGACTTTAATGGCCATATATCTCATCTAATAAAGGAAAACATTTACAAATATCAGAAACCCAGTTTTGAAACATCTGCATTAATTTTAAACTGAATCAGCATTTTGTCGGGTTTAAAAAAGGCAGCAGTTTGAACTCACAACTTGCTGACAAACACGTTTCTGCTGAGGAAAGGGGAGAGAGGGAGAGTGAATGCTGCATTGCTCCATTGGCCCCAAAGTGCTCATTTCACAAAGGGATACATCAAAAGCAAACATGCAATGGTGGTTTTAAAACTTTTACTGCAATATAACAAGGAAGTAAACAGTAATTAGACACCTACCAATTTCCCCCCCAAAACAAACCAAAAAATGTAAACAGGAAAATAACTCTGCCTATACTTGTAGAGCTTCTCAAATCATGTTAGAAGGGTCTCACATTCAATGATCAAGAGATTTGAAAATAGCAGTAATTATTTTCGTTTTAAGAAAAGGTTCCCCTTCTTCCCTCCCCCATCCCAAGTATTTAACATGAAAGAATGGGCTTTCTTGACATTAATTTTATACTTATTTGAAGCAGCAACAATACCCATCAATAATTTGGCATTTGTTTATAGATGTTCCAATTTTTTTTTCAATTTCATAAAGCCATTATCCAGTGTTGCCATGAAATAAGAGACTGTAGATTCTAGGTAGCAGAGATTCTTTCTGAAACCAACATTAAGTCAAAGAAATATTAAGCAGGGCATTACACTAAATTTCTGGATCTATTACACTAAAAAGAGTGAAACCTAGGAAGTTACCTACTGTTTTATACAAGATATAAAGACCTGCAAAAGCTGGTTTTTGGTTGTCTATTTTACATACTGTGTGGATCTGCAGCATCTGCTAATTAAAGCAGACATGCACTGTATTTATCCCTGCCCTATATCCTAGATCCCTCCCTCCCCACCCCCAACAATCTACTACCTTATACCAAGTATTGTGGATATGAGCCCAAGTCATCCCAGACAATCCAGTGAACAAAGTTAGTGTAATGCACTGGTGTGAAGTGTGAGATTTTAAAAAAAAGTCCCTTTCAATCTTCATCAAAGTTTTGCTGTAGAAGAAAATTGGCAGCCAAGTTCTCATTCTTCTCACAAGCAAAATATGCTTGTATCACAAGTCCTTCAGGAAATCCTAATGCCTTTAACCTTTCTATAGCTTCTTTTTCCTGAGGCGTTACTTGAATGTAGTTCATATGACCGCTTCCAGCTTCTGCAATCCCTCCACTGCCACCTCCGCCGCCTCCTCCTTGACCACCAGCTTCTTGAACTGGTTCATTTAACATCTGAATAAAATGTTCCTGATGTTGGCTAATTTGCTGTAGTAACTGAGGATTTTCTCGACCTATCTGTTGTAGCAATGCTGGAAGAAGAGAAGGATTCTGTTGAATAATTTGTCTCATCTGTTGAAACTGAGGCTGGTTCCGTAAAAATTCAAGGGGATGTCCTCCAGAACTTGTCGTTGTAGTTGTTGCTGTTGTAGTTGCTGCAGCTGCAGCCACTGAAGACTGAGGAGCCCCAGTACTAGCTGCTGGTGGGGGGTCCACCACAGCTTGACTTTCTCTGTCTCCGGGAATTCCCATTAAAAGATACTCCACTGCTCTGTCAGGGTTGTTGAAACTGGCTCTCAGGGCGGCAATTACTTGCTCTCGTTCATAGCCCATTGACATGATCTCAGTTACCATATTTTCGTAAGACTGACCTGTCACAAGTGCACTTGTTGCATCTTCAAAAAGGTTTGACCGAGAAGAATCTCCTGATGTACTGTCAGTTGATGCCGGGCTAGTAGCCACTGGTGTTTCTGCTGGCTTTTCTGCAGGGTTCTCTTGTTTTGCTGCACTAGCAGGTGCAGATTCAGAAGTTGTTGTCGTTGATGCTGGAGTGACAGATGCAGGTGTGGGAGTGGGAGCCAAAGCAGGGGCGGGGGTTGGGACCTGAGCCACAGCTGGTGCCGTGGAGGAACTAATCGTGGTAGTGGTGGCAGGATTCGATGGCTGAGTTGTTGTTGGTGCTGGTGTTGTCACTGCTTTGGGTTTTGTCACCATAACCACCACAAAGTTTTTCTCATCAATTTTATATTCTTTTAGAGCAGTATCATCATTGAGGATTTTGCCTGCATAAATTAATTTTTGACCCGCTACAGGAAAGGCATCTTTACCCTTTTCAGATTCAATCTTCTCTTTCAGTGCTTTCACCGTCTCGTCCGGGTCGATGTCGATCTTAAAGGTCTGCTGCTGCAGAGTCTTCAGGGTGACCTGCATGGTGCCGCCGCTCCGCTCCGCTGCCGGGCCTGCTCCGGGTGCTGGCCGCTGGGCCGGAAAATAAAATTTATAATAAAAATAAGAAAGGGCAGGAAGAAGGCAAAGTGGAGTAAGACAAAGGAAAGCTACTATGTGAGATTTGAGATAAAAATATATATCAAAAATAAAAAATAAAAATCTTAAGAATGAAAAATAAAAGGCAAAAAAACAGTGAATGCGTTGGCATACACTTGAAGAAAATGTAGAAGAGTTAAGGGGCTATGCAAGAGAAAAACACATGCAAATTCTGAAGAAGAACAAAGTGGTATTTGTCTCAGCAGAGTTCAGTGTTGGCCTTCTGTTTTCTTCTGGATCTGCCTCTGGCTTTTTATTGGCTCAAGGTCCAGGGATGAGTCATCTGACTTCTGACAGCACTGCATGCACCACCCTCACCTGCCTCTAAAGGGGACTTCTATTGCAATCAGGAGGGTGGGGCCCCCTGGTCTCCCCTGGGAGGTGATGTTGTCTTCTGGGAAAATTGTGGTTGTGTTCCCCTGTCCCTGCACCACACATCTCGGTCTACTTCAGCATATTTCCAATAATGTATAGTTTCTGGTCACCTAGTTGACCGTTTCACAGGAGGGGCCAACCTATGTAAGAGGGTCAGCTCTTTCCTGCTTGGTGCTCTTGGCAGCACTGTATACGAGATGAGGGCTGGGTGGGGTCCTGATTACCCCTTCTTGCCCCAATTTCTGGTCTCCTTGCCTTGCTGGCCTCCGGAGAATAGGGCCCTACAAACCAATGTATTTTGTCTCCCTGAGAGAAGTTCAAAGTGGATCCTTTTAGAGATTCTCTACCTGCTTTTCTCCTGCGGGTATGCACTCCGCAGAGGGTTCTTAAGCCTGTCCTGCCAATCCTGCGGGAGGGGGGCTGGGTAGTCCTTACCTTTCCAGGGGTATGATTTCTGCCAGAAGAGGGGGTGGGTTACCTGGCTGTAAATAATCTCAGGCACTCAACTTTTGCCCATCTAATAATGCCTAGCTCACTGCCCTAATAGATACAGTCCCAAACTCTCCCTTTTGCATACATAGCCTCCTGCTTGCTAGTTGTGCTTGACCAGAGTCAGAAATCCCTTTGCTGTGCAATTTTCTGATCTCCTTGCCCAGCTGAATTCAGTGGGAGCAAACTGTGCTTTCAATCTTGTCCCTTTGATGGTAAGGCAGCTATGCACGGGGTCCCAACACAGGTGCAGATAGAGTGCACCCGCCCTTGTCTGGCACTCCTCTGGTTGGCGTTTGGTGCTGCAGCTATTGATGATGAGCAGTACTCACTGTGTGCGACCTCACACAGCCTCCCAAGTCACTCCAGGCCTAGGTCTTTGGGATTCCCAGTTGGTGCTGGGGCCCCATGCCCTGGGAGCAGAGAGAGCCACTAAGCTGTAATTTCTGATCCATCTCGCTGCATCTACAGGCACCGTGCATGCGGTATTTCCCCTTCAACTTCTCAAATCTCCTTACTGCCCATTGCGAAGCGTCTTCTATACTCCTTGGCTTAAAACTTCATAGCAGCTAAGATTCTGTTGCTTGCTCAGGTTTTTAGTCAGACAGCCAAGAATCTGAGTCTGGGGCAAGAGCGAGGGGACTCAGCTTCCCATACTTGGCCACCATCTTGAAGAGCCTCTTTTTATTGATTTTAGAGAAAGAGTAAGGAAGAGAGAGACAGAGAGAAAGAGAGAGGGGTATGTGCCCCAAATGGGATTGACCCACAACCTAGGTCAATGCCCCAACCAGGGATTGAACCTGCAAACTTTTTGGTGTATGGGACAACTCCAACGAACTGAGACACCCAGCCAGGGTAAGGTTTTATTTTTTGATCCAACTTACTACTCTATACCTTTATTTATTTTTATTATTATTATTATTTTTTTACACTCAAGAATTTGTTTTCTTCTTCAGAAATAAAAAGGTTTAAAAAACAAAAGTTGGCAAAAATGATAAAATGTAATTTTGTTATATCCCAATTGCTTAGGTGCATTCTGTAAATTCCAAATAAGTAAAATAATATAAAAATATAATTTTAAATCTTTATAGAATGAAAATAAAACCACATTAATCATTAAATACTCTTGGGTTTTTTTTACTCCTCCCACAAATGAATTCACAAATATAAAAACTGATGTACATTTATATTCTGAAGTACAAATCCCCAACAGCCAAGTAGTTATACATTTTATGTGCAAAGTAGATATTGCATATTTACTTGTTATGGAAAGCAGAGTACAGGCCCAGTGGAGAATAATCATTAAACATTGATTATTTTTCAGAAAAATGCTGTTGTAAAAATGTACATTAGTACACTGTTGGTAATTATTTACTTCTCAAAGTAAATAACAGCTTTTAGATATAAATCTTTCAAAGGCTATCTTTGAAGAACTGTGAAGTGACATTTAAAATATGAAGAACAATAATTTGTCAGTAACCTTCTCAAACACCAAGCCAAGAGAGGATTTTCTTTCTTTTTTTCTCCATGTGGTCAGTTTCATTCTTAGGGAAGGCCTGATGTAGCAAGACACATTTCACAAACCTTTATCACAAGTTTGTGATCTGTCAACTAGAGACACTGCCTCTGATGTGGATAGTTTCATTCAATCCATGTTCTACTAATTTTATATCTTCTAGGTCATCTTTTATGATGCTAATCAAGTGACTGAGGCCTTCTTGTTGTTGTTTCAAATGCTGCTTGATTTCTCATAACAGATCTGCATCTATGTAGTATCCTTCTTCAGATTTGACTGCTCCAAAATGATTTTGCATCCTGATTTGGGACATTAGTTCATTTAGTCGGCCCTTAAACTGTGTAGGTGCATTTAGTTCACACTGAATTGTATCTAGTTGAACTCGCAACTGCTCTTCATCAGCTTGAATGGCATACCCACTCTTCCTCTGAATTTCCTGTTTGATTAGGACCTGTAAGGTTCTGTGGGAAAGGTCCATGAGTTTCCTCTTGTATTGTGCAATTTTGGCCATAGTTGTAGTTTGATTCTTCTGTAATTCACCAATATCTTCAGATATAATATCTAATCTGGTCTGATGCTGCTTAGTCATCTGATCTTGAACCTTCAGTCTTCGAAGTTCTTTGAAACCCACCATTGGTACAGGACTTAACTTTTCAGGATCAGGGTTATCCACCTTGGCTTGTTCCCAGATAATAGGATCAACACCAGCAGGAGGATTCTGCAAAAGCTGTTTGATCTGTGCAGGAGAAAGTTCTGTTGTAGTCATAGAGAAGGTCACACCAAGTTGCTGCAGTTGTGTTTTTATATTGGTTTGTTCAAAATGGGCATATAGTGTTGTAGCTGGAACTCTTCTTGAGGTACCATTTGGAGAGCGCTCAATAACATAAATGACAACTTCTGTCTGATCATCTGGCAATGTTTTAAAACCCTCTGCATTTACTGTAAGGGTCTGGTTTCCTCCCAAAACTTTATGCAATGATTCTACCAATTGCTGGTGCTGGCTTCGGATATCTTTTTCTTTTTTGTTGAAAACTAACACCACCAGCCCATCTTTATCTTTATTATTGGGCATACAACTATAACCTACTGCCTTAAATTGGCAAAAGGGATTTTCTTGTGTGAACTCCACTGGTGGAATGTTATTGTTGAAATATCCTTTTCCTGTTCCCCAAAACGCCTGCAGTTGATTCCACTTTGCTAAAATAGCATCTCTCTCATCTCCTAACAGTGTTGGAGCAGAAAGAGCACTTGCAGTGTCGATCAGTTGGTTGGACTGGGCAGGAGCTTGTGTGGGCTGGCTGAAGAGACCACCTAATGTAGTTTGCTGTTATTGCTGCTGCTGTGATATTAAAATCCTCCAAATCCCAGTCCAGTTCCCAAACCCGTACCTAAACTAGTACTAGTTCCAGTTGTTGTCCCAAAACCAGTACCAAATCCAAAACCTTTGCTCTGAGTACCACCGAAGAGTCCAGTAGTGCCCATGTTAGTAGGAGCAGAAAAACTGAATGCAGAACCTGCTGTTGTGGATGTTGTCCCAAATCCTCTGAAGCCACCTGCGGAGGTGCCCGAGGTGCCCGAGGGAGCTCTGAAGTTGAAAGCCATGTCACAGGAGCACAGAACCAAAAAATACTCTGTACCTTTTAATTGGTGAATTCAATCCATTTACATTTAGGATGATTATTGATATATAACGATTTCCTTTAGTTATTTTATTGTACCTTTTGTTTCCTGGTAGCTATGTGTCTCTATTGTCTCTTTTCTCTTGTGTTTATTTTTTAAATTGAGTTTTCAATTAAGGTTGACATTCAATTTTATATTACTTTCAGGTGTACAGCATAATGGTTAGACAATCATATACTTTACAATGAGATTCCCCATGATATTTAATTTTATTTCAATATTATTGACTGTAGTCCCTATATCTCTGTGACTATTTAATAACAACAAATTTCACCTCTTCACCTTTTTCATAAGTCTCCTAACCCCTCTCTGCTGGCAACCATCAGTTTAATCTCTCTGTTTTTCTGCCAGTACCATGCTGGTTTGATTACTATAGCCTTGTAGTATATTTTGATATGAGGTAGCATGATACCTCCAACTTTGTTTTTCTTTCTCAAGAATGCTGTGGCTATTCAAGGTCTTTGGGGCCCCAGAAAAATGTTTGAATTATTTGTTCCAGTCCTGTGAAACTGCCTTTGTTATTTTGGTAGAAATTACATTGAATTTAAAGATTTCTTTGGGTAGTATAGACATTTTAATGATGTTAATTTTTTCTAGCAATTAATCTGTATCTTCTTTAATTTCTTCATTGTTTTATAATTTTTCAAGTAGGCTTAATTTCCCTCTTTGCTTAAAATTTTTTCTTAGGTATTTTATTTTTTTGAGGCAATTGTAAATGAGATTGCTTTTTTAGTTTCCTTTTCTGGTAGTTCATTATTGATGTATAAAAATGCAACTGAGTTCTGGATATTTATTTTGTATCCTGCTACTTTACCAAATTCATTGATGAATTCTAGTAGTTTCTTGGTGGAATCTTTAGTGTTTTTTACATACAGTATTTTGTCATCTATAAATAATGACAGTTTTACTTCATCATTTCCAATTTGGGTGGCTTTTATTTCCTTTTCTTTTCAGATTGCTGTGGCTAACACTTCCAGTACTATGTTGAATGCGTGGTGAAAGTGAATATTCTGTCTTGTTCCTGATCATAAGGGAAAGACTTTTTGCTTTTCCTCAATGACTATGATGTTGGCTGTGGGTACGTCATATATGGTCTTTATTATATTGAAGTCTGTTCCCTCTACTACCACTTTGCTGAGAGTTATTTTATGGTAAAAATAAATGGGTGCTGGATTTTGACAAATATTTTTTTCTGCGATGGGATTTTTATCCTTCATCTTTTTTATGCGGTGTATCACATTAATTGATTTGTGGATATTGTACCAACTTTGCATCCCAGGAATGAATCTCATTTGTTCATGGTGTATAATCTCTTTACTATATTACTGAATTTAGTTTGCTAATATTTTGTTGAGGATTTTTGTGTCTATGTTCATCAGGGATATAAGACTATACTTTTCTTTTTCTTTGTAGAGTCTTTATCTGGTTTTAGAATTAGGATAATGCTGGTTTTGTAAAATGAGCTTGGGGTCTTCCCTTTGCTTCAATCTTTTATAATAGTTAGAGAAAGGTGGATAGGTATCAGTTCTTCTTTGAATGTTTGGTAAAACTCACCATGAAGCCATCCAGTCCAGAACTTCTGTTTGTTGGGAGTTTTTTGATTACTACTTCAATTTTGTTAGTTGTAACTGGTCAGTTCAGATTTTCTGTTTCTTCTTGATTTAGTTTTGAGAGTTTGTATGGCATATTTCTAGAATTTATCCATTTCTTCCAGATTGTCCACTTTGTTGGCATATTATTGCTTGTACAAACACTAATTTTAAAAGGGTAACCCAATGCTGTTTTTTGGAAAAGGATTTGGTTCAAATTGCTGAATCACAAGTTATGTCCCCTTTAAAAGATTTTAAGCCAAAATAAAAGAATATTTACTTTGGTTCTGTCTAATAGTATGTGATTTTTGTATTAAATCAATGTTAGTTTTTCTGAGTCCCCTGCAAGACTCATGTATCTTAAATTTTTGTTGCACATCTGACCTGAACCTATCCACCAGTTGGCTTTTGTTCCAATTTTCCATTCTTATTATCAATTTTTGCTTTATTTTATTTGATATTTTTTATTTTGGTGTATTGTTCCTTTCTGACTTTGCTACTACCATCCAAAGTTTTGCCTGTAGCAATCTAGAAATGTATATAGAACAAAGGAATGGAAAAAAGCAAAGAGAATGGAGCACAGGGTTGCCAGTGGTCATGATCTTTATGTGATTGGGAGAGCTTATATTGGACATGAGCAAGGACACAAAGAGGTCTTTAAATTGCTTTTCCTGTATATAGCTAAGGAGATGATTTTCTTTTCCTGGACCAACAAGTGACTTAATCCTTGGGTTGTGCTTCGTCATTTTTGAGGGGAACTGGAAACAGATGATAATATTTCATAACCACTTTTCCTTCTCCCCTTAGGAAAGACCTGTTGCATTTCAAACCAATCCTAAGGATAATTTTTGGGGGGTTTTAATTCTGTCCTCATTGTCTATTTCATCATTAGCTACAGCGATCTATTTAAAAAGCTTTGTTGAGTTCACTATTCATTTTTCCATGGTAGGTATTTTTCATGTATTCAAGACTCTCATTTGAGAATGTGGAGATGTTTTTGATGTTAATAAAAAAGGTCTACATTCTGGAGACTTCATGTTAAGAAGGATTCTCAAGCCCCTGAGTAATGACAAGGAATTTATAAAGCCTGCCAGTGATGTTATACTACTTGGAGCTTTCTCTGACCTAATCAGGTAGATTATAAGATATTACTAATTTCTATTCAATACTTGTCTTGATGCCTTAAGAATGTTTAATTACTTTTGCCGATAAATTTCAGAACCTTCCATTTTGCAATCAAATTTCTGAACAATATCCATGGATCTTTAAGTAATTTACTATATTAATATACTATATAAGCCATATCTAGTCAATCAGACTTTTGGTCACTCCTAAAACACTGTTCAACACATGGATTAAGCCTTACATAAATCCAATGTAAAGATTGACTAGGGAGTCCTGGCTGGTGTGGCTCAGTGTATTGAGTGCCAGCCTGTAAACCAAAGGGTTGCTGGTTCAATTCCCAGTCAGGGCACGTGCCTGGATTGTGGGCCAGGTCCCCAGTATGGGGTGTGTGAGACAACCACATATTGATTTTTTTTCCGTCTCTTTGTCACTCCCTTCCCTTTCTCTAAAAATAAATAAATAAAATCTTAAGAAAAAAAGATTGGCTAGGGAGCACTTAAATTAATTAAGGTCTACAAGTACATTTCTTTTAAGGTACATAAAATTTTCTATTTTGCATAGGGTGACTAGGAATTAGAGAAATTTCATGTCAGAAACTGAACAAATAATCTGAACAATCTCATCAAGGTTTTCATGAACTGTTTTGGATATGTTTCTCAATTTCCTTTTTTATTTTCCCTGATATTTAAAAAATAATGACTGGAAACTTTAGTTTAAACCTCAACTTCTTCTTTCGAAATACACTTTTTGTTGGAAGTCTCTTAGCCTCATTATCATGTTTAGCTCTTCGTCTCTGATCTCTGACCTATTTGCATGAGGCCAAGGCTCTGGGTAACATCTTCAGAGAAAGAGAGACACGAGAGACTACAGGGCCTTCTGAACACAGGGAGCCCACATAATGGTGCAAGAAAGGCATCCTCAAGGTACGGATGAACACTTTTCTTAATTCCAGAGGGAAAGGTAGAAGTGTATGATGAGATGATGAGCTATCAGGAAAGAAGGGGTTAGACAATGGAGAGATTGAAGGGATAAAGATTGGACCACCATGGCAGTTATGAGAAGTTAGGAGAAAAAATAATTCCTCAGAGCTAGAAGTTCTTGACAGAATAAGAAACCAAATATTAATACAGTGGTATGGGAAGTAGGAGACAAAAGTGATGTTTTGAGAAAGATGGAGAATCCATGGGTAAATGTAATATTTAGAAGAAAGAAAAAGGAAGTAGAAATTACAGTTGATGGAGGATTGAGATTGAGATTTACCCAGATTGTTTAGGACTTCAGAACTACTACCTGGTCATTTGTTCTGAGGGATGTTCTAAACTCTCTTGTCTTAGGTTTTTAATTAATCTGAAATTCTTCACCTAGTTGCTTCATTGCTCTAGGCTTCTTTGGAGCTTTAGCTTCCTGGCCCTTTTTTAATTGCATTTGTCTTGCCTCTCTGACAGAGAAAGCGGTATGGCGATACCAAGTGAAACTCTGGTTTGTTGCTGTGATTTTTATAGCACTCCTCAGTGCTTGTTTCATTGTGAGTTGTGTGGGTGAGTTCTTCATTAAACTGCCACTCTCTTGATTTTTTTTCCCCTATCATGTTCTAAAGATTCTTTAAGGTGTGTACTCCTTTGCACCATTAATATGTTAGCTGTTACTTGGAATGCCATGCTTTTTTTGATTTCTCTCACTGCTCCTCATCCTCCTTTTATTTCTCCTCTACCTCTTCCTCCTCCTCTCTCTCCCTCTCTTTTCTTCCCTTCCTCCATCTTTTGACAGTTGACTCTGCTTCCGGATATATAGTTCACCTGGTTTTATTAGTACATCCCTGATCATGACCTCATATATTGATGTATGTTAAATGTAGTCATCCTCTAAGACACCATTTTCCACTACATGGTTCACTAGTGATCACATATTCTCTAGTCACAAAAGCCCTCTATTGAAAATGGAACTGTAATTGCTCTTATAATCATAATACCTTAGGATAGAAACTTTTATATTTTTTGTGGGAGTCTTTTCTAATATAAGGAGAAAAAAATATTCAGATGAAATATTGGAGATGTTAGGGAATACTTCTTTACTGTTCCACTTGCTTCCAAATAAATATTTTAAGTATGTTTTGTGAGAAATCACAAAGATCCTTTTCTCTCTAATCTATAATTTTGTTTGTTGTTCATTAATAAGATGATTAAAAATAGTTATTAAGTAGTCTGGAAGGAAGTAAAAATGACTTTGTATGTCAAATGGGCTATGTCTGAAGTGCCCTTGAGAGATAAATAAATCTCTTGGTCTTTACTAAAACACAAATAATTATCACCAAAGTTAGAATCTGCTTCAATTTTCATGGTCAAATGCAAGAAAGAAGAGGGTTTAAGAATAGTTATTTTATTAATGAAGGGGAAGCAGATATTCAGGACCCTGAAGCACAGGCTAAGAGAAAAGAAGAACGGTTTGACAGTGTTGAGCTTCAGCAGCAGAGGGCCAACAGAGAAATGAGTGAAGAATCAATTAAGGACCCAAGAGAGAACAGGCCTTGCTCAACATGCCCACAAGTGAACATAAAAGTTAATATTTGAGACTTTTAAAAAAATCTCTAAATGTTTAAAGGTTTCCCTTGGTTTCTCTTTATTATAGATATTTAGCTGTAGCTATCAACAGTCAGAAATTTTAGAAAATATAAAAATAATCCACATGCTTCTCTCACAGTTATGAAAATTAAGGAGAAGCAGACAGCCAGTGGGTCAATAGATATGTATAGATTATTTTGTGACAATCACTATTCTAGGTGTTTGTGATTAACTGATGTAGAAAAGAGATAGAATCTCTGCCCTAGAATATGGAACTTAGATAAATGTCCATAGAAAAAGAGAAAAAAGTGAAGGCTTATAAACACACAAGAAAAGTGAACACAGACAAGCAGTGATTGAACATGGTCTTTATTGAGTTTGAATGGAGGTAAAAAATGGTGGTAACTGGAGAAAGCCTGCTTGGCACAGGTTTCTAGAGCATAAGGCTTTATACCAAGAGAATGGGTGGATACTAAATCTTCTCCCTCTTCCACAGTGACTTATTTTACATATGGCAAAACTGACAAAAAGCTGTCTGCACTACATACGTATCATTCAAGTCTCACCTGTTTCAGTGAAGGGACAAAGGTGACAGGTAAGGTGTTGCAATTCTTAACCAAACTTTCTCTTTTCTCAAAGAGAGTTCAGGGTTGAGCTCCTTTGGTTTGTTATATTTTTTTATATAGCATTTGCTTAGACAACTTTAAGATATCTCTAAATTTATATGCTTATATCTGGTTCTAGATTTTCCCTCAAAAAAATTCCTCCTCAAAACTTCTTGAGATCAGTAAGTTCTATCAACATAGATCATACAGTTTGCTTAAACTAATCCAGGAAATTCTTCATAAAAGTTTTGATTTTAAGTTATCATCACCCTTATCATTAGGTAAAATTTTTTTTTAATCTAAGTTTCTTAGTTAATAATTCCCATCATCATTCCAAGGATCAGCTAGCTTTATTACTAGTCAATTTGGCTGTTGAAACATGCCTCCGGAAGAGACTGTCCTCACTTTAAAATGTGGTGCTTGTACCTTCATATATGGAGAGTAAAGAAAGTGGAATTCAGAATCATGGTCTACCTCGCACTGTCTAGTGATAAATGCCAAAAAAGGGCAAAATGCATCTTCTAGTGGTCTTTATGGCCTTACTCTTTCCAACTAAGAAATATAAATAGATATTAGACTCTTGGTATTTCAAGAGCTAAATAATTCATTCTTCTGCTTCTGTGAAAAAATCTATGAGAATAGAGAGAGGATGAAAGTTTCTATTTCTATGAGATGTTGGAATTTTTCCTTTTTTTGTATTTGGTAAGAATATGGTGCATGGGGTAGTGAGGAATGATTTCTTTACTCTCTTTGCCATAGGGTTTGTTTTTTTTTTTTGTTACATTGAGGCTTTTGGCCGAACAATTATGGAGCTGGCATTTTTGGGGAGAAAAACAACATAATTGCATCAGTATCATCTTCCTCCCACCATTTGGAGGAACTCTCGTAACAACAACTGGAGTTTTGAAGTCTGCCTCCTGGAAGCAGCGACGGGTACTTCAGCCTTTGCCTTCAGAATGCCCTGAATACTCTGAAATGAATGAGGCCGAGATGGAGATTACGGAAACTAACTGCACATCCATCTGGCATAAGAGACTACAAATTTACTCCTTAAACATATCCAAGTTGATATTAAAATCCTTCAAGTTGTTCAGTACATATAATTCAAGGTACAGATAAACTTATATAAAAATTACTTTATATAATACCATGTCAACAAATGAAAGTGCTCAGAATTTAAGAATATCCTTTCAAACTATTATTACAATGAAAAGTTAGAAGTCCAAACACAAAATTTTCATTTTGATTACAAGTGAAACATAACTGAAATGCACATGTATGCACATGTGTTTTTTCCAATTTGTTTCCCACTCAGTCCCTGTCGGAGTGTTGAGACATTTAAAAGCAAGAGTAAAGTCACAGTTTCTCCAATAAGCTTATGCTCTGCCTACACCTGTGCTCTTTGAACTCTTGCTTGTTAAACCCCCAGAAAGATTTTGAAAAATTATGTACCCCTTTATACAATTTAATTTGACATCTAAAATTTTTCATCATGTATTAGAAGCAAAAGCTTTATTTTCTGGAATATTATAATTATGAACATTTAAAAATAACACTGTTACAGGTGTTTTTAAAGTGTATGTACTGGTGTATTAATACCTTCACAAATTGTAACCCCCACCTCTCATCGTGCATATATAAAAAAGAAGAAAAAACATGTACGATATTATTTAACCATCATGTGTCTTCTTTTTCCTCCTTGAACTAATATTTACACAGCACTTTTTCATCTGCCAAGATATGTAAATAAGAATGTGTCTAATATTTTTATTTCTTATGAAACATAAAGCTTTAATTGTTATAAAATTTCTTTTGGTTAACTCATTACAGTTATTATCAGAATACAACATTTAAAACATTATAAATTTATTAAAATTTTTGATAAATTATACTAATAAAACTGTTGGAAGCCAATCTTTTAATGAGACAAATGGACTTTTTAAAAAATGCAATCAGATGTACCTACTGTTGAAATATATTATTACTAGAATGAGGTAGAATTGAATATCAATTCTATTCTCATTTATCACTTTAGCAACACAATCTAATAAATCTTACTTATCTAAATAAATTCACAGAATATAAAGTGCTCTGTGAGTATGTCATACAATTTTTTTGTTGTTTGCCAAAAAAATTCAATGATCTAGTGTCAAAAATTATTTGTAATAATCTATTCACTGAGAATTTGATTAGGCAATAATTCTTTTTTATTGAATATAAAGAATGATAAATAGAATAATTTACAAAAGCTTTGTTATTTCTCAGCTAATAGTCAAGTGCTTTCTCCACTTTGAAGAATTACACCAAAGAAGGATTTTATAAGTCTTATCAAATGACTATTAATTACACTTCTTTCTATACTTACAAAGCAACTTGATCTGCTCATTCAGAGCACAGTTGGGAAAATAAAACATTATTAATGTCAGTATACATTTTTGACAAATTCTTCTGTTCATCACAGCTTTCAATAGTTTTGCAAGCTTGAGTCTGAAGATTTAGTATATTCAACATATGAAAAGTGTTTGCCATGCATAACAAACAAAGCCAATCCCTACCATCAAAACTGTCAGTGAGCCCTGGCTGATGTGGCTCAGTGGATTGAGTGCCAGCCTGTGAACCAAAGAGTCGCTGGTTTGATTCCCAGTCAGGGCACATGCCTGGGTTGTGGGCCAGGTTCCCAGTAGGAGGCACATTAGAGGCAACTACACATTGATGTTTCCCTCTCTTTCTCTCTCCTTCCCACTTTGTCTAAAATAAATAAATAAAATATTTTAAAAAACCAGCCAAATTAGACTTTTTAAATTAAAATATGTTAATATACACTTAAGGATTATTATGAAAAGCAATCTTTAATAATGAATGGAGTGCATAATTAAGATAAATTTCTAAAAGTGGTCAATAGTAAAATGACATAGATATGGCCTATTTTATTCATATTATAATATTGTAAAAGGAAGAATAATTTATATGTTATTCTCATCATTTAATCACCGCACTGTTGTCCATGTGCATGGGTTCTTTTTCCTTTCTGCTCGATCCCTGCAATGCTTAACCCCTCCACCCCCAGAGCTGCCAGCCTGCTCTCTATCTATGAGTTTGTCTCTGTTTTGCTTGTTAGTTTAGTTTGTTTATTAGATTCCACATATGAGTGAAATCATATGGTATTTGTCTTTCTCTGACTGGCTTATTTCGTTTAACATAGTGTTCTCTAGGTCCATCCATGCTGTTGCAAAGGGTAAAATTTCCTTTTCTTTCCCTTTTTACTGCCAAATAATATTTCACTGTGTAAATGTACCAAAGATGTTTTATCTACTCATCTACTGATGGACACTTGGGCTGCTTCCATAACTTGGTGACTGTAAATAACATTGCAGTGAATATAGGGGTGCTTATGTTCTTCTAAATTAGTGTTTTGTATTTCTTCAGATAAATTCTCAGAAGTGGAATTGCTGGTTCATAAGGCAGTCTCATTTTTAATTTTTTGAGGTATCTCCATACTGCTTTTCACAGTGGCAGCACCGATTTGCATTCCCACTAACAGTACAAAACGTTCCCCTTCCTCCACACCCTTGCCAGCACTTGTTGTTTGTTTATTTATTGATGATAGCCATTTTGACTGGGAAGAGGGGGAGGGGAATATAAGGGGGACAAATAGTAATGGAATAAAAATAAATTTAAAATTATATAACTATGTAATAACATTAAAAGTGAATAAAATAGAGCTACATGTAACAACATGAATGAATCTTAACAATGTGGAATAAAAAATTAAACCAGGAATACTTTTAAAAGATTTAAAATTCAACAAATTAAAACAACTTATTATTTAGATATACAATATATGTGCTAAATTTATATATAAACATATCCAGTCAAAATGTGTCAGTGGGCACACCACAAAGTCAGGGAATCAAGACAGATCAACTTAAGAAACAGAAGCAAAAGAGAAGAGTCTCACAAGTAATGGGAAGACAAAGAAATACCCTCCTCTTGAAGGGAAAGGAGGAATCCCCAGAAAAAGAACTAAATGAAATAGAGGCAAGTAAACTATCAGATATTGAGTTCCAAACAACGGTTCTAAGGAAGCTCAATGAGCTCAGTGAGCTCAGAGAGAATTACAAAAAACTACAGGGAAACTATGAGGAACTTACTGCAAACTGTATCACCATGAAAAAGGACATAGAAACTATCAATAAGAGACAAGAGGAAATGAAGAATACGATTTCTGAATTGAAGGACACAGTGGAAGGTATCAAAAAGCAGACGAGATGAAGCTGAGGACCGAATCAGCGAACTGGAGGACAAGGTAGAAAAAAACTCCCAGAAAGAGCAAGAAAATTAAAAAAAAAAGACTCAAAAAGCATAAAGAGGCATTTAGGGAAATGCAGGACAACCTGAATCGTAATAATATCCGTATAATAGGAATACCAGATGGAGAAAAGGATGAGGAAGGGATAGAGAACCTTGTTGAAAAAGTCATGATGGAAAACTTCCCTAATTTGAGGAGAGAAAAAGTCACACAAGTCCAGGAAGCACAAAGGGTCCCATTCAAGAGGAACCCAATGAGACCCACTTCAAGACACAACATCATGAAAATGGCAAATGTCAAAGACAAACAGAGAATTCTAAAGCAAGCAAGGGAGAAAGAGGTAGTAACACATCAGGGAGCCCCAGTATGGCTAGTGTCTGACTTCTCAACAGAAACCCTGCAAACCAGAAGGGAGTGGCAAGAAATACTCCAAGTCATGAAAAGCAAAGGCCTACAACCAGGACTGCTCTACCCAGCAAGGCTCTCAATTAAAATGGAAGGTGAAATATGGAGTTTCCCAGACAAAAGAAGGCTAAAAGAATATACCTCCACTAAACCAGCACTGCAAAATATGCTAAAGGGACTGCTTTAAGATGAAGAAAAAGTTTTTATGAATACCCAGTTCCTTTCAGAGTTGCCAATACTTGATATTACCAATATTTTTAATACTCATTAATCTGTAACAATGATGTTTTGTTAATTGTTCCTTTAGTATTTGTTGAAACTAAACCTGTTTTAGTATATTTCTTTCCTATTTCTATTATTTTTCTATTAAAAAGCTTTAAATGACTTTTTGGTATTCTTTATCCATTTATTGATTAAAGGTTTGTAGAACTTTCCCCCCAAAAAAAACATAGGGAAAAAAAACCCCCTACTAACTATGTTTTAGATATGTTGCAAACACTTTTCTATTCTATTCCTGTCCTTTAACTTTTTATATGTATATTACTATACAGTTAAATGTTTAATATAGTCATATTGTCAATATTTACTTTATAGCTTCTGGATTTGAATATTTCACTTCAGGTCATGAAAAATATTAGTTCTATTTTCTTCTAAAACTCCTTAGATTCTACATATTGATTTCTATCTCACATGAATATTTCTGGTGTAATTTGTGAAATAGGGCTCTATATTTGTTTTATTTCAAGTAATAGTGGTCCATGCACCTTATTTGTTAAATAAGCCTTATTTTACTCATTGATTTGAAATATCAACTTAATCGTATATTATATTGGTAGATATATATGTTTGTCTCTAGAATGCTTATTATGTTTCATTGATCTACTTGATTATTTCTGTGCTGGTGTCATGTTGGTTTAATTGCTGAGATTTGTAATGGTTTAAAATTTTTTTAATATTATATAATTAACTTTGACATTTAAAAAAATAAATAAAATCAACCTGCATTTAAGAAAGAAAGAAAGAGAGAGATGGAACTCCTACCTTTTGCAACAACATGGATGGAACTGGAGAATATTAAGCTAAGTGAAATAAGCCAGTTGATGAAAGACAAATACCATATGGTCTCACCTATAAGTGGACTCTATTCAACAAAATAAACTAATGAACAAAATAAACCACAGGCACGGAAACATGGAGCAGACTGAAAGTGACCAGAGGGGATGGGGAAAGAGGACAATGGTGGAAAGAAGGGGGAGGGATTAGACAAAGAACATGTATGAATGACCCCTGGACATGGACAACAGAGTGGGAATTGACTGTAGGAGTGGGGTGTAGGGGTGGGATAGGTGGAGGGGTGGGGTAAAGGGGTAAAAATTGAGACAACTATAATAGAATAAACATGATTTATAATTTAAAAAAAAGAAAATCTTGCAGCAAAAAAAGAGTGTCAGTGGATTGATATATAGTTAGCTAGAGATTTTTAAAATTCTAGGAGAGTGGTAAACTGATGTTTCTAAGGGGAAAGGACTGGAAACTGATAATTTTAAAAATTCTTACATGCTTGATGTTGTGTAAAAATTAGTAATAGGAATATTAATCAGCTATTATTCCATGTTAAATACCCTTTAAAGTGCTTTGCACATATTATGTGATTAAGTTTTCTTTGAGTTTGGAACTGTTGTTATTTTTACTTTAAAGATGAAATAACTAAGGCTGAAGGGGGTTATGTAATTTTTTCAAAGGCATACATAAGAAATGGTGGAACCATAATTCTAATGAAGCATAATTCTAATTCTCATAATCACCCTGTGTATAATTGCCATTTCTATTGAAAAACTTGAGGCTGTGGCTTGCCCAAGGTTTTTAAGTAGAACTGGCATTCAAGATTATTAGTGCTTTGTAACTCTGATAAAACTAGATGCATTTAATATAGAAGGGAGGTAAAGAATGAAAAAAAAAGCATGATAGTGATTTTTTGGCAAACAAAAATCCAGAGGAATTCTTCAGGTAAACCTTGGTAAATAGTGAGAACTTAAAGAACGTTTATTTATAAGCAACTTCATGACCTCAAATTATATAATTAAGGAACAGTAAATACATGAATTATGAAGCTCATCCCTAGAAAAACAAACTCAAATTCTTGGTATTTCATATGTACAGGACTTACCTCTTTAATTTTATTTGCCTCATATTGCACTCACTTTTTTTTTTTTTTAACTGATGTTCAAGTACAGTTGTTTCCATTTCCGCTCTGACCACTCTTTCCCACCCCACCCTTCCCTGCCTCTCACCCTTGATCTTACCCGCTCTGGCTTTGTCCATGTGTCCATTATATATGTTCCTTGAGGACCCTTCCCTTATTTTTCCCCATTACTCCCTCTCCCTCCCCTCTGGTTACTGTCAGTTTGTTCTTTATTTCCATGTCTCTGGTTCTATTTTGCATGCTTGTTTGTTTTGTTGATTCGGTCCCACTTATAGGTGAGATGATATGGTATTTGTCTTTCACCACCTGACTTACTTCACCTAGCATAACGCTGTCCAGATCCATTCATGTTGTCGTGAAGGGTAAGAGTTCCTTCTTTCTTTCTGCTGTATAGTATTCCATTGTGTAAATGTACCATAGTTTTTTGATTCACTCTTCTCTTTTATACAACATAGAAAAAGTCTGGGGATGTTGCCCAAGTACTTGGAAATCTTTCGATTCCAGCTGCTACTTCATTCCTAATGAACAGAATTTTTGGAGTAAGAGTGAGCAGAACTGTGTTAAGATGGGGGGTCATTTGGTGGTGATCAACACAAAAGCGGAGCAGGTACATTTGTTTTTTTAATATTTTTGTTTTAAAAAATTAAGTAATGTAATTAACAAAATGTATCATTTTAATTGTTTTTAAATGCACAGTTCAGAAATTAACTATATTCACATTGTTGCAAAAAGATCTCTACAATATTTTCATTTTGCAAAACTGAAACTCTATACCCATTGAACAACTACCCATTTCCCCTTCCATCCAGTCTCTGCAACCACCCTCTACTTTATTGATTATGCTATTACAGTTGTCTCAATTTCTGCCCCTTGCCTCCTTCTACCTGATAACTCTCATTCCCTTCACCAATCCCCAACTCTTAGCTCATGTCCATGGGTCATGCATATAAGTTCTTTGGCTACTCCATTTCCTACACTATTTTTAACATCCCGCTGTCTATTCTCTATGTACCAATTTGTACTTCTTGGTCCCTATACCTTTTCCCCCATTCTCCCCTTCCCCCTCCCAACTGATAACCCTCCAAATAATGTCATATCTATGATTCTGTTTCTGTTCTGCTTTTCTGCTTGTTTGCTTAGTTTTTAATTGATTGCCATTTTAATGTTCATAGTTTTGATTTTCTTTTTCTTAAATAATTCTCTTTAATATTTCATATAATAATGGTTTGGTGACGGAAATTAGGTTTACCTTGTCTGAGAAGAACTTTATCTGCCTTTTAATTCAATTTGCCAGCCCCTTCTTGCCTGCAAAGTTCCTTTTGAGAAGTCAGCTGATAGTCTTATGGGAACTCCTTTGTAGGTAACTCTGCTTTACTCTTTCTGCTTGTAAGATGATCTCTTTATCTTTAACTCTTGGCATTTTAATTATGATGTGTCTTGGTGTGGTACTCTTTGGATCCAGCTTGACTGAGACTTTCTGTGCTCCCTGGACTTGCATGTCTATTTCCTTCACCAAATTAAGGAAGTTTTCTTTCATTATTTTTCCAAATAGATTTTCAATTTCTTGCTCTTCTCCTTCTGGCACTCCTATGATGCGAATGTTGGCCCACTTGAAGTTGTCCCAGAGGCAGCTTATATTATCCTCATTTTTTTGGTATCTTTTTTTCTCTTTCTTGTTCTGATTGGTTGTTTTTTGCTTCCTTATGTTCCAATTAATTGATTTGATTCTCAGCTTCATACACCATACTGTTGTTTCCCTGTAAATTGTCCTTTATCTCCATTAGTGAATCCTTTGTTTCTGACCAGACCCTTTATATGCTGCTGAGGTCCTCACTAAGTTCCTTGAGCATCCATATAAACAGTATTTTGAACTCTGCATCTGATAAATTGCTTATCTCCATTTTGTTCTGTTCTTTTTCTGGAGTTTTGATCTGTTCTTTAATTTAGGCCATTTTTTTTTTGTTTCCTCATTTTGGCAGCCTCCCTGTGTTTGTTTCTATGTGTTTTGTAGAGCTGCTTTAACTTCATGTCTTGTTAATGTGGCCTAATGGAGTAGGTGTCCTGTAGGGTCCAGTGGCACAGCCTCCCCTTTCACCCAGGCCAGTCAGCTGCAAGGATTGGCCATGACCACTGACCACCAGTCTCCACCATCCATGGAGGATCAGCTGTGCAGGGGCAGGGTGGTTGTGCTCTGACAGAGTCTCTGGCTGTCCAATGGGTGTGCTGGCCCTGGGGTTTCCTGGGTGGTGCAGACCAGAGTCAGCCTCCACCTGTGTTTTGCCTAGGGCCACCCTTCCTGATCTATAAAACAATCTAAGAAGGCTGCACTTGTGCTAGGGTTAGAGATTCTCAGGTAAAGCCAAGCTGTGAAACTAAACTGGCTGCTACTAGTGCCTGGCTTGGAGCTCACTGAGGCCAGCTATTGCTTGTTTGATAGAATTTAGGATTTAGAATTTGATGCAACCATTCATATGGAAAAGTAGCATGGGTGGGCCTGTAAGCTGGGTAGGATGAAGTCTCGGGGGACTTCCAAAGCAGGTCAAACAGTATTAGCCAGATTGTTATATATGGCACCAGCCTGCTGGCTCCATAGATATGCAGGTTGAGGGCTTCAGAAAAGGGACAATGTCTTCTGCTTGCCCTGATGCCATACCCTTCTGCCTTTCCTCGTATGCTACTGGTGCCCTTCAAGCTGCCACCGTGGCACTGGAGCTCAGAGGGAGTGAGTCTGAGTAAGTGAGTCCATGTGTAGGTTCTTTAAGAGGAATTGTTTGGGGCTCCAGAAGTTTCTTCCTCTGACTCAATCCCCACTGGTTTTTGGAGCCATAAGTTGTAGGGACTTATATTCTGGCACTGGAACCCTGGTCTGGAGGGCCTGGTGCAGGCCTGCTCACTTCTGAGATATCCCCCTTTAATTTTTATTCACCACACATGGGTGAGAGACCAGCCTGCTCCACGCCTGTGTCCCTCTTACCAGTCTCGATGGATGTGCTTTCTGTAATTCCATAGTTGTCAGACTTCGATTCAAGTCAATTTCATGGTTGTTAGACTTCCATTCAACTCAATTTCCAACATTCCTGAGTGATGGTGGTTCTATATTTTGTTTGTAATTTCGATGTGGTTATATGAGGAGGTGAGCCATGTCTGCCTTTGTCGACATCTTTACCTTTGTTTCTTTCAGTAAGCATTTAACCCCCTTCTCCCTCTCTTCTTCTTGAACTCCAATAATTCACAAATTGTTTCGTTTGATGGTATCCTATAGATCTTACAGACTTTCTCCGGTCCTTTACTTTTTTTTTTCTTTTTGCATGTGTGTTTGGGAAATCTCAATTGATTCATCTTTGAGCTCACTTATTCTTTCATCTGCTTGGTCAAGTCTGATTTTGAAGATTTCTATTGAATCCTTCAGTTCTGTGTTTGAATTCTTCAGCCCTGAAATTTATGTTTGTTTCTTTATGTTCCCATTTCTTTGTTGAATCATTTTGTTCTTGTATTGTTTTTCTGGTATTATTACATTGCTTATATGTGTTCTTGTGTAGCTCTCTGAGCATCTTTAGAACAATTATTTTCAATTATTTGTATGGTATTTCTGGATTTCCATTTCTTTTGAACCAGCTACTGGAGGTTTGCTGTATTCTTTTGATGGAGTCATTTCCCCTCTCCCCTACAATCCTTTGTGATCCCTGTAGCTTTGCATAGGTGTCTATACATTGAAGAAACAGGCATATCCTCCAGACTTTATAAACTGTCTTCAGTAAGGAAAGACTTTCACCTGTGGATGGGTGCACACTAGAGTATGCTGTCACCCCAGGTCTGGTGGGGCAAGACAGCAAATGTGGTGGTGGTGGTGGCTGGAGCTGACAATGTGCACACACTTGGCTGTGGGGGCCAGCTCCAGTTGCCTGCGTAGTGGCAGGGGTGAGTTGCACGTACATGCACACGTAGTGGTGGGGCCAGGACAGACAGTCACTTCCTGCACTCTCAGAGAGGCAAGACAGAACCAGTCCTGTCATCCTTGAAAAAAACCAAACAAACCGGGAACATTAGACACATTTTTCACTTTTCTTTTCCTCCCAAGGGAGAGCTATGAGCTGTAAGTTTTCTCCCAGTTGCTTTGTGCTGTACCCATTAAGTGGGAAAACTCTGGTAGAAAAATGCAACAAACTTCCATTTTGTTTTGATGCAGCTCTCCTTGGGTTTGCACTTGCCTTGTGAGCTGCAACCTCCTAACTGGTTTATTGCTTATCCATAGAGGCCATTAGGTATGCATACTGCTGTTAAATTGGTGTCTCTGTGGGGAAATGAAGGTCTGGGGCTTTCTAGTCCACCATGTTGCTTATGTCAGCAAAACAGATAGTTATTTTTTCCTAAAAAAAATTAGAAATATTTATTTATTTTACATAGTAAAAGATGAGACTAATATCAATCTTTCTATGTTTTCTTTATCCACACTGAGAAAAAAAATCCATGTAAACTTTCCATTTTCTTTTGGTTAAATGAGTGGAATATGTGTAGTGAAACCTGAGTCCACAAAATTAATTTTCATATAGACTTTTCCAAACAAGTAATTAACAATCTTTGTTTCAAAATTTTCTTTTCTCCCATACTCAGATTCCTGAAGAAACGTTGACATTTAACCATACTGTCAACAACCAATCTGCATTGTTTTGTGAAATGAAAGCCAAGTATTCTTAAGGGCAAATGAGCTCTAAAATAGAAAATAACAAATTAGCAGGTCTAATTTACAAACTGAAACATGGTAAATGCAGTATTACAAGTAGCAAGGTTTATATTTTTCAGAAAATTTTATGAAAATTCTTTATAAAATGCACCTTAATTTTCAGAATTTCACTTATTTTTTATCTACCAAACATGCAGTTCTCAATAGATAAAATAAAAAATTCAGATTTAGTAAGAATCAATCCAACTTTTTTCTTTAAGTATACATGTATGTTAATTGTAAAGGATTGTCTAGTAAATATAAACATCTCAAAAAAGTTATCTACATTTATAGAATATTTTTTCTGACAGTGTTTATTTGTATTCTAAAAAACAAAAGTAAAAAAAAAAAAAGCCCACAGAGAATATTGCAAGTAGCACCCGCAGCATTTAAAAAGTATTGGCCAAGTTTTTTACTTTTTAGTATTTTTCAGGATCTTTTATGAAGCACTCTGTTTTCTCTAGGGTTCTCTGTAGCATATTTTTGTACACAAAATGAAGGAATAATTCTTCGTTTGACTCCAGTGTGCACTGAGAAATTCAGAGCCTTAAAGAGAAAACTTAGAAATTGCAATTAAATTGTTTTCTCTCTGTTATTTTCTCTTTCTCCTTTCCTAGCCTCTAAAGTAGATATTACTCATCTAAATTACTAATATACTATTTAGAAACTCCAGGAACACATACACTATGTTTCTAAAAGTATTGAATTTATTTGAAAGCATCACATCAAGTGTGAAACTCAGTTAAAAAACATGTTTTCAGTAGATGTGGATTTTGGGAAAGAATCCAGTGTTGCAACCATTAATAATATATAAAGTAATTTAAAGTAAAAGGTGTTTGCCTTTGATAATAAAGTACTGTGGCATTAATGTATGACACTTGTATCTTCCAGGTAAGGGGTTTAGGCCATGATGGTTTCTTGTCTTTTTAGTTGACTTTAGAATTAGTATTTTAAGAAATTGCCTCTTCTTTTCGAAACTTGTGCTATTCGCTGAAATACAGGCATAGGAAAGATTTTCTCTGCTTAGGTTAGTGTATTCACACAATAGGTACCAAACATGAAACAAAAGGGCCAAATATCTGAGAGACAGTGGCATTTGAGATTACAAATTGTTTGAAATGAAGGAAATCACTAAGATTGTTTTAGTAAAACTCCAAGAAAAATCAATATTGGGCAATGAGTACCAACCTGTTTTATAATAGCTAATTAAAAGTCTGAGCTCTTTGCAAGGAGATACCATTTTAAACTTACCTGCCATCACATTTCCTTAATATACACATGCATGTTTCACTGGAGCAAGAAACTTAGGAACATAATTCCATCATAGTTATACAGTTAAGCAAGAAACTCACCAAACAAATGTATATTATGCTTTGTGAGTATGGTGGTGGGGGAGATCATCTGATAACTGACATAGATTTAGGAAGAATTCTGTATCTTGGTGAAGAAAAAAATAAATTCTGTATGAGAAAGAAATTCATGGGTTATAACTCCCTCCTTCCTATAATGATGTTGGTGTTTTTGGCCTGGTCCCTTGTCCAATAAACTGTAGTAACACTGTTCCTTACACCTCACATTTTCTTTTTAGAGTTATAAAGAACACTTACTCTATTCAATCTGGAAAGTTCAGTCTATGCTTCTTTTTCTTTATGCAGAATTTCATTGTTCAGCAGCTGAATAAATCATTGTCTTATTTTCTGGGACTCTCAGATCCACAAGGGAATGGCAATTGGCAATGGATTGATCAGACACCTTACACAGAAAATGTCAGGTGAGTACAGACTCACATTAATGAACATGGGGCTTTGTTTACATAAAAATGTAGGGAGATTTTGTTGGCAAATACTGATAATTATACTGATAATAACAGATTCTAACAATTATTAAGCTCTTACTAAGTGCATGCATTGTCAAACTTATATTTCATGAAAACTTTTTTAGACCTCATTTTACTGATGAAAAATGGATTAACTTCCCTGAGGTCAAAAACCAGTAAGATGAGAAACAGGGTCTCAACTCCATGTCTAACTCCAAAGATGGTGCTCTTAATCATGACACTTTGCTGCCTCTAAACATATGTAGACACTTCAATTAATAGGATTTGAAATATCTGTGTCAGAACTGTGTTCAATTTTAGTAGGATAATTATATAATAATACTATTTATTTGTGGCTTTGAAAAAAATCCAGAATTTAATTATATATTAACTCATGTAACTCTCACATAATCTTATAAGCTATTTGGGGATCTCATTATGATTACCATTTTTATAGATGATGAACCAAGTACCTGAATAGAATAAATTATTTGCTTAAGATCAAAATGAACCAGCAGCAAAACCAGGTGTCTTAATTCCAAAAACAAAGTTTTACCCTGCAACCCACTCACCCCTACCACAGATTGTATTCCTTGTAGGCAGGGTGATTTCTTATGTGCAGACTCTAGCTATATGAGAATATAGGAATTTAGGAAGGTAATAAGAGTACACAAATTAAGGAGGCAACCTCTTTATTATATGCCATTAAGAGAGGACTTGTTAACAACCCACATCAGGATAAGGGCTCTTTATGGAGGCAGAAGTGAAGATCAGATTTTAAGGAAAAGGTCCAATATTACTCTAGGTCATTAAAATTTTGCCAGAAGAATGTTAGAGGAGCAATTATAAAAGTTTGTGTTTATACTTGGGGTTTTGAGGAAGGCAGTATGAGAAGAGGAGAGCAATCATTGGAATGTTCTTTTACCCTGAACTCCATTCTCTTCACCCCCCAACCCTATACACTTTTTAATCAATCACTGTGCATTCATTGAAGTATTTTTGTCCTTTGTTTTTCTTTAGATTATGGCACCAGGATGAGCCCAATTTTTCCGCAGAGGAATGTGCTTCATTAGTTTTCTGGAATTCTAGAGGATGGGGTTGGAATGATGTTTTCTGTGATTCTAAAAGAAACTCAGTATGTGAGATGAAGAAGATTTATTTTTGAGTGGAATGTTATTCATTGTCACATTTAAAATGGAGACCTATCATAAAATGATAATTTCCTCTTGTAATTTATGTATAATTAATAACATAGAGCTTCATGGAAATATCCAGATGCCTTACTCCCTTCAGTCATCCTTGTTAGAGTTTCCTCTTTCCTGCTAATGATAGGTCAAGCTCTTCTTTCCTTGGTGTTTTTCTTTAGTTCATTATGCATTCTTTACTTTCTTCATACTTTTAAAAAACATTCCTTGTGACAGAGGTGGTACCATTTTGTCTTCAGAAGATTTACAAGGTGTAACTATTGACAATTAAAGCTGTCCTTCCTCAAAATGCCATTGAGAAATTCTTTTGGTCAAACTGGGACTGCAATCATCCGGAGGCCTGACAAGAGCTGAAGGACCTGCTTCCTAGATGTCTCCTCATACGGCTGGCAACTTAGTACTGGCTGTTGTTAGAAGGCCTCAGATCCTCATCCTGGGCAGCTCTCTATAGGGTTTCTCAAGTGTTCTCACAATACAGTGGCTGTAGCAATGTCTTTTATGATCTAGCCTCAGGAATCACACACTTTAACTTCTGGTGCATCCCACTGGTCACACAGACCAAACCTTATATACTAAAAAAAGAGATTACCCAAAGGCGTGAATAGCAGAAGATGAAAATCACTCAGGGCCATCTTGTAGGCTGGCTACCATAATAGGATTTCTTTAAAAAGGTACAAAATATGTGTGCCAAGAAGGAAAATAATTAAAAATTCTCCTACACTAATATGATCAACTGTGTTCATCAAAACACTATAAAAAGGTAAAAAGGAGAATTGAAAGGAGATATTTCAAATACTTATTAACTAACACAGAATTAATACTGAGGCATACAAGCTGGTGACAAATGAATTAGAAAGACATAAAAATGGGCAAAATATCGGGAAAGCATTTCACAGGAGAGGAAATACCTAATCTAATAAACATATTTTATAGAGATGTTCAGCCTCACAATTTGAGAACTGCAAGTCAAGACCACAATAAAGTGGGGCAAAAGTAAGATTACAGTTGTTTATATGGAAAACAATACAAGAATTAATAAAAAATAATACAAGAATAAACTCTGTGTTTTGCACAGTCACAACTATAAACCTATTTTTGCCCTACCCTGTATACAATTTTATACTCATCTTCATGGCAAAAAATGGAACTGGAGAGAATTATGCGGAGTGAAATAAGCCAGGCGGTGAAAGACAAATACTGTATGATCTCACCTATAAGTGGAACCCAATCAATAAAACAAACAAATGAGCAAAATAGAACCAGAGACTTGGAAATAAAAACAAAGAAAACTGACAGTGACCAGACGGAAGGGGGGGTGAGAATAAGAGGGGAAAGAAGAGGAAGGGGCCAGCAGGGAACAGCAGAGAGGGGACTCACGGGCACAGACAGTGGGGGCGGGGCGGGGTGAGCAAGGGGGGAAAGGCAGGACAACTGCAACTGAACAACAGGAAAAAATAAAGGAACAGTAATACCAAGAGTTGGAGGAGATATAGATAAATGGAGCCTCTTTAAAGAGAATGTTTTTTTGTTTTAAAAATTTATTTTTCTTTCTAAACTTTACTTTTATTGTTGATACTATTACAGATGTCCCCATTTCTGTGCCCTCCTTGCGCACACCTCGTCCCTGCCTCCCTTCTCTCTGGCCATCACCGCACTGTTTTCTCTGTCTATGGGTGATGCATATATATTCTTTGGCTAATCCGTATAATATTATATTAGTTTTAGATGTACTACATTGGGATGAGACACTTATATACCTTACAATAAGTCACCTCAATGAGTTTAGTACCCATTTGGCACCATCCCCAGTTATTTTTGACTAGATTCCCTATGCCATACTTTATATTCCCATAACTATTTTGTAACTGGAAATTTGTACTTAATCCATTTTACATTTCTCACCTACCCTCCCCACCTATATGAGAGGAATGGAGAAGGGTGTGGAGGGGTAGTAAATGTAAAGGGGTTCAAATATGTGGTGATGGAAAATGATTTGACTTTGGGTGGTTGGCAAACAGTACAATGTACAGCATGTGTATCACAGAAATGTACACTTGAAACCTATAGAATTTTATTACCCAATGCCACTCCAGTAAATTTAATAAAAGTTACATAGAAATAGCATTAAAGGTGAATAATTGTTCATATTTTGAAGACATAAACTAAATTAGTTTATGTTATATGTAAAGACGGACCCCCCAAAACCCAGAATTTATTTATAAAGTATTGTGTATTTATTCTTAAATGTTTAAACTTCAGTCACCTTCAAATTACTCTCCATTTGATGCAATACATCTATCCAGACGTTTTTTCCACTGCTTAAAACAGTTTTTGAACTCATCAATTTTGATGCCTTATAGTGCTTCTGCCATCTTTTGTTTCACCTTTTCCACATCAGCAAAACGTTTCCCTTTGAGGACTTTTTTCATCCAGGGAAACAACAGAAAAAAAATTGTTCAGGGTGAGATTGGGTGAAAGGGAGTATGGGGCATGGGGGTCATGCCAATTTTGGCCACAAAGCTGCTGAACATTCATCACAGTGTGGGCGGGTGCGCTGGTAAATCACCCGTCATGAAATGGGCAAATGAGTTGAAAGGGTCTTCAAAAAAGATTCACTGAAGCCAAATGCAGCCTCTCACAACAACGCCCGCTGGTGTGCTGATACAGATGGGTTCCTAGAACACTCATCTAGCGAAGGAAGCCTGTACTACAAGGGGCCTGCCCGCCAGAAGATTTTTCTGGGGTTTTTTTCTTGGGAGGTCGCCCCTCGTACATGCTTGTCATTTACATGAACTGACATAGTAATGAAATAGAGTAACTTCATGTGAAATACTAAGCAAACAGTTTTTAACATATTTGGAGAAGCCTTTATCATTCTTTTATTTTTGAATGTACATTTGCTTGCCTTTTTCTCCATATAAAGGAAAAGACTTTTAAATATTTAGGAACTTTAACCTTTAACAGTACTAATTCTTTAGAAGTGAATTTTACATTTGAAGTTTTCCTCTTTTAGAATGACTAATGTTTAATTTCTCTGAATAAATCCAGGTTTCTTGAATAAAATCTTCATTGAAACAGATATAAAAGCTTTCTAGTATATTTGACTATGGGAGCACACATGCAGTGTTTCTAAAGGAATAACCTCAAAATGGAAGTGAGAATTTATCTTCTTTTCAGTTTCAGATAGGCAAGTAGAAGTAAAACAAAGAATGGAAGGTTAGGAATTGATGTGGATTCCCAGAGTGATGTTCTATAAAGTAAGTAAACTAGTGAGAGAACTGTGAAGTTAGATTATTTTAGTAATAAGATAGAGAATAGAGCACAATAATAGGTAGGAAAATGTAAAATTGGAAATATCACTCAGGCATGAGCAATTGAAATGATGAGAAAAACATACACCATGGTTCAAGAAGGCAAAGTAGGAAAACCCTAAACTCACTTCCTCCCACGGGCACACTGAATCTACACCTACATACAGAGCAATTTTCTCCAGAAGAAGCCCCAAAGCTGGCTAAGTAACTCCTACACATCAGATGACACTCATAACAACATAGAAAGGAGAGGTTGAGACACAGTTTTGTCATAAACCCACCCACAATCGGAAGGATCCATGCTTCTTCCTGAGGAATGAAAGGGCTTGAATCCCGCATCTGGCACCACAGTGTAGAAGTCCTGCACCTGAGAGATAGGCCTCTAACACATCCAGTTTGGAAAGACAACAAGGCTTGCATCCACAGGGCCCCCAAGTCTATAGAGAACCAGTAAATGGTTCTCATTGGGCTCAAGCAGGCTCACTACGGCTAACCCCTCAGGCATAGCATAGAGGTAGCAAAATGAAAGAGGTCCTTTCTTCCTCTCTTGCTATCTCTTTTTTGTGATTTTACAAATGTTTTGTAGGGGTATGCTTTCTTTTCTTTATCATTTGTGTTTGTATTATAAGTTTTTGCTTTGTGATTACCATATGGCTTTCATAATAAATCTCACACTCAAAACAATTTATTTTAAGCTAAGAACTTCCAGTGCATAGAAAGGTCTACACATTTACTTGTCTCCCAACAATTTGTTTTTGATGTTTCAATGTACATCATTTTATATTGTCTATCCATTAAGAAAATATAGTAACTATAGTTATTTTTAACCCTTTACCTTTTAATCTGTATGTTAGAGTTCAAAGTGGCTTACATACCACTATTGCAGTATTAGAGTGTTTTGAATTTGAGTATATATTTACCTTTACCAGTGAGTTTTAGAGTTTCATATGTTTCATGTGACTAATTAGCATCCTTTTGTTTCAGTTGGAAGAACTTTAAATATTTTTTAAAAGATTTTATTTATTTATTTTTTGAGAGAGGGGAAGAGAGGGAGAAAGAGAAATATTGATGTGCAGGAGTTGCCTTGATTGGTTGCCTCCCACATGTCCCCAACTGGGGACCTGGGCTGCAACCCAGTCATGTGACCTAAGAACCAAACCAATGACCCTTTGGTTCATAGGCCCGGCCAGCACTCAATCCACTGAATCATACCAGCCAAGGCAGAAGAACTTTTTTTTTATTGTTTCTTATAAGGCAGGTCTAGCAGTGATAAATTTCCTCAGCTTTTATCTGCCCAGGAAAGTCTTTATGTCTTCTCCATCTGGTGAGAAAAGTTTTCTTGGTTAACAGTTATTTTCTTTAAGCAATTTGAATATATTAGCCCATTTTTTTCCGGTCTGTGAAGTTTATGCTAAAAAATCTGCTAATGTCCTTATCTGGATTCCCTATTATGTGACGTCTTTTTGTTTTTCTCTTACTGTTTTCGAACTTTCTCTCTGCCCTTGATTTCTGAGAGCTCAATTATAATGTGCCTCAGTGACTGTCTTTGGATTGAATATGCTTGGGGATGTCTCGGCTTTTTGTACCCAGGTGTCCATTTCTTTCCCCAGATTTAGAAAATTTTCAATCATTTTCTTTGATATGTTTTAATCAGGATGTAATTTAATTACTTATTTATTCAGCAATTATTTCTTTAAATACGTTTTCTATACTTTTCTCTTTTCCTCTTGGGATGCCGATCATGGAAATATTGCTTCTCTTGATGGTGTCCCTAATTCAGAGAGGCTTTCTTCACTTTTTTATTTTAAATTCTTTTTCTCCTCTGACTGAATAATATCAAGAAAACTGTTGCCAGATAAGTTCTCCTGCCTGATTGAGCCCCCATGTTGAAACTTTCTATTGCATT